TGTCTCATGTGGGCCCAATAACAGGCTCGAGGAACCCACTGATGTTGTCATTAGAAATTCACGATGTGGAAAAAACAATGATTGAGGTAGACAGGTTGGCAACAGACTGGACTTAATTGGGTTAGTGGGACGTGAGGCGAAGTTTCCTCCTTTTGTTGGTAAGTATACGAGAGGTGTTCTGGAAACTTAGGCTTTTCTTTGTTGAATCTCGGGTGGTTTTTCCATATTTGATAATGAGATTAGTGTCTGGGTTCCATGATCATAATCAGTTTCCATTATTCATATTAATGTGTCTTTGTGAATGGAACTAATCTAGTTCCTAAATGGTTTTTCTGATTAAACTCTGCTCAGAGCCATACCATTTCATCATCAAATTTTTAATATCCTTGTCTAGTAACTTGGCTAGTAACTTAAAGTTAGAACTTCAAAGAAGGCAGGAAGACAATAACGCTGATGTGTCTATAGACCACACTGCATTTTGTATAAGTTTAACTGAGAATACTACATATTTTGTAACAGTGTAACTCATGTAGGATATTTCAGACTTCACAATCAATTTCTTCTCTTCCAGCCAGCTGTGAATGGATAATTATATGTTGAGTCTTGGAGACCAATTTGTACATTGTAGAGGACTGGCATTGACTTTGTAGACAATGATACATTGTGAAAACAGAAGACCCCTAGGCTGCACCATCAACCAGCTTAGTTAGTTACATGTATCCTCTTCCACTGCTTGAAAGCTGTCTTCTTTTTGCATTCATGACCAATCTGAGAGTATTGATATTCTAGAATCTTCATGATCAAATTAGTCAGCATCAAGTCTGGTGTGTACTGACCAAGCACTGTCATTAAAAAAAAAAAAATTCCATTTCTGAGTGCTGTTTGGAATGACTTTGTGTTATACAGATATGGCATGACTGAGAAATATGACATTGTGTCCCAACCTACAAATTTTGTAGCCATGCCTAGTTATGTAGCACACACTTGAAATAACCTGTCATTACTTTGGATGGCACAATGAAGCCAACATCATTAGGCTACACCAATTTGATTTGTTGGTTCTTGGATTTTTTCAGAAAAAATATGAAGCGACAGGGCGAAGAAACTAAAAAAAACCCCAGCTCTAGGCATTCTATTATAGCCCAAAATGCTTCAATTATAGGACCCATATGCATGAAGTCAACACAAAAAGCCAGGTTAAACTTTAAACAATAAATTTTGAACTTTTAATCAAACCACTGCATTGATAGATGGAAAAACTGTTGTGTACAGTAACAACTAGGAAGAAAAGGACTTTCCTCAACTGTTGGGGGCAAAATATGAGCATTTTTAGTTGATTCATAACCAGAATCTTTTTTTTTTTTTGCAAATCAGAAAAAAATGAAGCGGGCAAATCTGAGAACCAACAAATTAAATTTACATGACGTCAGTAGGAAGGTTATCCGTCTAAGCCTATCTACCTACTGTAGTGCAAGACTCCAGGATAACTGTGTCAAAGTATCAGAGCTGACAAAAAAGCAGTTAAGTTTAGAATTGATATCACACATGCATATCGTGTACAATGCCATAACTAGATGTATGTCACTTTGTGATGTAAGTAATTCTAAATAGAGCTTCAGATATTTCCAACATGATTGCCTCATCTCTTCCTGGCATTGTGCCATCAATCAGTCAGCTGCTTGACTGCTATTGGCCACAGCTTGGGAGGGCAGTTCCATTCTAGGACCTTGGGGGAAGAGGGAAATTACCGTGTAGTGAATTAAAGTAATTTCATTCCAATAGCAAGCATGTCAACTCAACCTTTCTTCAGCAGCTAGACATTGAAGAATACAGGACACATACAACTATAGTGCTGTGTAGTACTACCTAAGCCCAAGTTCAGGTCCAGCATATACAAAATATCGGACATCTCAGTGAACATTTCCCAACAAAAAATTGGCATCTTTACCGCAAAATTTTTCAGCAAGCACTGCAATAGCAGGGTTTAGAAGCAAGATATGTTGTTTGCGGAGCACGTCGGGGCAAAACTGTGGCCACGTAATTTACATGTACAATGCCCAATGGCAATGTATTCTTCATTTTGCATTGCAAATTTTTAAAAGATTTCAGGTTGTTTAGAACAAAAAAAGGAATGTGACATGATTTTTCCAGTTGCAAACATTCAGTTTTTTTTTTATTAATTTGAACCTAGAGTCCGGAACAAGTTTCAACGCACTGGTAACTCACTACTACTTAGAACTTGTTAGTAATACACACTAAGCCTGGCTACATGTAGCTCCATTTCAAGCTATTGTTAAACCCTGTCCTGCCTTCAGGAGGAGTATGTTTCCTCAATTACTCTTTCCAACCAACCATGTCTAGTGTTTTCAGCTGTTGTTTTTTTTTTTACACATACACAGCATTCAGCGATAGTTTACGTCATCCAGAATACAGCAGAGCTCATCATTGCACGTACATGTTCCAGTCTTGACTTCCTAAAATGAAATGGCCCTCGCTCCAACTTCTGGTTCCGCCCACCTTCCCTTTTTACATCCCCTACTGATGAAAAGCACCTCAGGGTCCGGCTTATTTTGCCAGGGTCTGTAGGACTTCTAGAGGTGATCGTCCACAATTCATCAAGGAATATTACATGCCACCCAGGTCTCAAATTAGAATGAAGTTGAATCCAATTTCCGGCTAGTGGCACCAAGGACCTCCAGAGGGCTTTCAATTTGTGCTCCTGACAAGCATAGTTTGTGTCTCTTGTCGTAGCTTTCAATTATCGGTAACAGCTGTGAACAAAAGACTGTGTGAGTTAGCTAGGACAAAATATGGCTTCATTCAGAGAACAAGATTTGCTATCGGTGTAACTTCTCATGCCAGCCGTTTTTGTCAGTCGAGATCATTCCTAAAAGGATAACAGATTGGTAGTGATACTTCAGCCAAAAAAAAGCATGTCATCCTTGGCCAATGTTTATAGGTACTGCTAGAGATGACTGATATTTCAGGGTGAGATGTCAAAGTTACATCATTTGTAGCTCATAGACTGGCATTCTCTGTGAAAGTTTTCAAGGTACTGCAAGATGTGGCTAAGGCCACACCAATTTAATATCTTGGTTAACGGATTTTTCTAGAAAAATAATGGAGCGGGCAGGCGGGAAAAAAAATAAAAATAAAAACTGGCCTAGGCATCCCATCATGGCCCAAAATGGTACGATAGGAGCCATGAAGTCAACACACCAGGCTGGTTCAAAATTTAAACAATGAATTTTGAACTTTTAATGATACCATTGCATTGAAAGATGGAACAACTAGGATGAAAAGGACTGTTTTCAACTGTTCAGGGCAAAATATGAGCATTTTGCAGTTGATTCTGAATTTTTATTTTTATTTACAAATCAGAAAAAAATGAAGCGGGCGAATCCGTTAACCAAGAAATTAAATTGGTGTGGCCTAATGAATGTACTTTTTTTAGTACATCAAGGATATCTTATTTTTGGTTCATGGAATGTGTAAGGCACCTTGCAGATTCTTTTATTCATCTCAGGTGATATATGCTCCTCAAATTGCCTGAAATTATAGGTATGTGATGAAAATGTATTATAATAATTCTTTGTTTTGTCCCTGTGGTATAAGCTGCATACACTATGTGTACTGTAAGTATGCAGTAATGTATTGTCTTTATCTGCCATGCTTCAGGACTGACGTCCTATGATATTTACCTTAAAATGGTTTTACTCAGTATTGAGAAGATGGTTGTAAGCAACTAAAATTAAGATGATTATCATGATAAATTTATTCTAACTAGCAAATGCTCTATTTCTTCCACATATCCAGGATTGGGGATCATTAGGCATGATATACTGTCAACCCATGTTAGAGGGTAAAATCAGGCCATTGACCTTTAAGTTCCCATGGTTATTGGATAGTCCCAACATCGTAAACAGCCCTGCACTTTGCCAGGCAATCATAGCTGGAAATGGATGTAGGTAGCCGCGAAATTGGACCTCAGTAACTGATGGGTTGTCCTTTAACATACAGATTCACTAAAGTGAAGCGACTCATAGGGTCTATTGCGGCCATGAAACTTAAATAAATGTGATAGCAAATGGAATTGCAGTTTCAAACACTTGGCAGTTTCTGGCGATTGCCATTTGTACTGTATGCACGGACAATCCTCAGTGAAAAGAAGTCACGAGGTACTCTTGTTCAAAGATACTATCTTTTAAACTGAAAATTTGTTGCACCCAGAAAAAAATCTGTATCCAAATTCAGCTTGTCAGTAATCACTGTTACTGTGTAACAGTATTACAATACATAAATACTTCTACCTAAACAGGGAACTTCTCAATACCTTTATGTCATTTACTGTGCAGATGTACATATTTGAACTTGAATTTGTATCTTGACATTGTTCCAAGTTTCTTCCGGTAACCAGGAAATTAGATTTGCAGGGCCAAGCAAAAGCAGGGATTAAATAGTCTTGAAGGCAGGTAGACAAATGGATGGGGCCCGTAAAACTGTATCTGTTTCCAGATCGGCCAGTTACTGCATTTTATGGTTGATTCTAAATGTTTTGTCCCTCCCTATATGGACATCTTAAGCTGGATTTACAGCTTTCTGCCTGGGTTGGTTATCTCTGCTGTTATTCAGGGAAGTTGAAAATCCATTCCTTAATGAGATCTGCCCTTGGGAGCTATTGTTGCTAGAAAATAGAGTCAACCATTCATGACAGGTGGGGGGAAGCTTCATACATGTAGAAAAACCTATAGATATGTTTTAGACATACTAAAACTATGGATAAAACTAAAAGTCAGAATTTTATTTCAATGGTTCGAGTGGTTGGTCGTGAAGAAGGCCTTGACTCTATTTTTTTTTAGGAAATCAGCCAGATTTTCCCCCCAAACAAGCGATTCTATTACTCCGGCCCGGCTAAGGGCAAGGGTCAGTCCTCCTGGGAGATGGAAATAACTGTCCTGCCAGCAAACATTTCATTGAGTGCGGCGAGCCCCTGTGATACAGAAAGCCCTTATGCCAGGAATGCACAAACAGTCTTAGTAGAGATTTAAAGGGGAAATGGCCCTGAATGCAGAAGACAAAGGAGTATGTGGGTGAATAGTAATTCTGCACTCTTGACTCTTGCCAGTAGGTGGGAAATCAGTGGAGGTAGGTGTGACCAGAGGCGTCTCTATAACAGAGGTATGTCTGGGGACCTTACAGTAGTAGTAGTGTGTGGTTACGGACCACACATTTGTCGGTCAATGTTTCCACATGGCGAGTTATACATGTTGTACTGAGGCATGCGAAATGTAAGGATAGATTGTGATGGATACTTCTTAATGATTACATTTATAGGGGAGTTTTTGCATGAAATATTTTGTAGGCTAAACTCTGTGTAAACCGTACTGCAGTTATTGTATTCTTTCATGTGTAGAATATAGGATCTTGTGGTAAAAAGCCCTCCGTATCACATCTACATACAGTGCCACATGCAATTACCATAATGTCTATATATCATATATCAAGGTGGTCTTGTAGGCAAAGGTTGTCACGCCTCCTGTATGCTCTAATATCAACAATGAAGTTTCCATGTAATTTGTGAGCGAGAAGGTGTGGGGTTTCCAATCACTCTCAAATATTGATGGCCTCCTATGACTGTAATATTACAGTCATCCATCATGTGGTATAAAATGTGCTTAGAGTGTTGAACTTTTTGTGATCGAGATATTGACCCGTCTCTTTGCTTTAGACATAATTTGTAACAGAGGCCATACTATTGGAGTTGCTAGCGGCCCTGTATAATATTTAATATCATGGAGCAATATTATAAATGAGCTGTGCTACACAGGAAACATGCAAAATCACACAAAAAAAGTATTTACTTCAATGTTAATTCGTGGGATTCTGAAGTAACAGTCCTTTACTAAAAATGTAGATAGAAATATGAACCTGGCTGTATCAAACTGCCTGTAGTTTTTGTACTGTTTCTTTCAGCAAGAAGATTGGTTTAAAGTGTGAAGATTTTAAAGCCTAGAATACGGGACAAAATCAGAGTTTTACACTGTTCAAGTGTTTGTTGTTGTAGGGGTCCAAATAGGGGGTTTTAACATGTGGAATTCTGCTAGTTTCTGCCACCTGTCCTTGGTGCTGAACCTACAGCTGCTGCCATCAGAGTGGAGAGTTTTGACTGTCACCTATTCATACAATGTACATATTGGCAGGCAATAGGCATAGGCTAATGATTTTTCATAAAAATACCTCTAAAAGTGTCTTTTTGTCAACTGTGGGAAGTGTTGAATACTGATGGCCCCAGCCTGATGATACAATCACAATAACAAACCTCAGATGAACATATTCAATGCCCATGTGGGCCATCCCTAGTGATAAAAGATATTCCCAAGAGGTTAAACCTACCCTTAGTGACAGCTTTAGATCTGCAATTATCATTTTGGTATAAAATGCAATAATTAATCCTGTTTGGTATTCAAGCCTCAGGTGCTAAATCGGGTCCTATTTTCAGGTTAACTACTTGGTAATTTACAGGAGCTTCCGTGCAGACAAATTCTGCCTATTAATCATTGATTATGGACAACAAAGGCAGCCAACTGGCTCAATCATTTACCAGACTATGGATTGCTTCAAAAGTCAATGATCTTTAATGTAAAATTTCTGTGCCCAAATATTAGCTGTCATACCTTGTCTCAGCCATTTTGCTTGACATTATCAAGATAGGAACATTATGCAATTGCATTAGTTTACAAAATATCAAAATTTGCACTGAATATTGATTTTTTGATAAAAAAAACATACAATGGGGGTCTGATCAGGCACACGGATTAAAAGAAACTGTCCTGTATTTGTTTTCTGGTATATTTCCTATATAAATACATGTAGTGTGCATGTGTAGCAGTTATTTGACTATGTCCCTGTTGCCTAACCCCGTAACCAATAACGTTATAGAATTAGTAGCCAAACAGCTACAGCTGACTTCTGTGTGCTAAAAGTCAAGAAACATTGTGTTTTGTTTCCAAAACATCTTGGTAATCATTCTAATTCTGAAGATGTCATCTCAGTTCAAGATTTCTGGGTAAAGAACTTAAAAGATTCTTCAAATACTCAGTATGTGGTTGGGGTGTATAAATTGTCAATGTGGGTACTCCAGCACATCACCCAGCTGTAGTTTACTCATAATACAGCCAAACTGCTCAAATTTTTAGAATATAGATAATCATGGTTTCCTATACCTTTATTCTCTTGACTTGATTAGTTTCTATCAAGAAATTTTAGATGATTAGAAACTGTGCATTTTTTTCATGTTTAGGATAATTGAATTTCTTTAATTTAGGGGCTTCCACATTTAAATTTCCAACTAACTCATGTTTTTCATGTGGGATCATTTTCTTTCCCGATCAACCTTGTTTATATCTAATTGTATAGTGATTGTAATATACTTGCACTGCTGCTTTGACATTTGGAGACAGTAGTATACCCCGCTTTGATAAGTGATTAGGATAAATCTAAAATTCATAGCTCCTGTATCAGCGGATTTACTCTATTGTGATGAATGACTGCTTTGGTGTTGCAAACCTGCCAAGCTACAATTTTCATGCAATCCCTTTACTGGCAGCTATCCACATTAGCAAGGTGTTGAGCATTAGCTATTTCTGTCAGACTTTGCAAAACGAAGGATTCATATTCAGTGACAATTACACACAAGTATAGTCATCTGTCATACTTTGAAACATGCTTCAGATCTCAGAGAATAGCTTAACTGCCTTAGTCTGGGAGAACTCCTTGAATGTTAAAATCCTATACTTGCAAAAGCATAAAAATATACTTTGCTGTATGGTCGTATGAGAACCAGTGGTATTTGCATGTGTGTTTTCTGACTTTACATCCTGTAATGTATGGGCAGACTATCTAAAATCATTGTGATATTGATAAACTATACTGAGGCCACACCAATTTAATTTGTTGGTTCTCGGATTCGCCTCTTCGTTTTTTTCTGATTTGCAAAAAAAAAAAAAAAATTGATTCTGGTCCTGAATCAACTGAAAAATGCTCATGTTTTGCCCCCCAACAGTTCAGGAAAGCCCTTTTCTTCCTAGTTGTTACAGTTTTCCCATCTATCATTGCAGTGCTTTGATTAAAAGTTAAAAATTCAATGTTTAAATTTTAACCCAGCCTTTTGTGTTGACTTCATGGCTCATTTTGTAGCATTTAAGCCTATAATAGGATGCCTAGACATGTTTTTATTTTTATTTTTTTTCGCCCTGTCGCTTCATATTTTTTCTGAAAAAATCCGAGAACCAACAAATTAAATTGGTGTGGCCTGAGTGAAGTTATACATGAATTCAAACTGATGATATCAGAAACACTCCTCTCTCACACATCTCACGTTCACCACTCTGGAAAGCCTGGAAAATGTCAAGTTCGAGGGTCAGTGGGAAGATGGAACCCCTATTTTCAGCTTGACTTACCCCGTGTATTACCTCCCCAACTGGCTACATTGCTGGAATGTGAAGAATATTTCAGCCTCAGGCAACTTATCATGGAGAGGAGCTTATAATTTACTGGATTTCTGAAGCTGCCAAATTCTTTGGAGGACCCTAATTTCTGACATGGAATGAATCAACAGAAGTTTAACCAAGTATAGTCACTCAGAAGGTCATTGGGTTTGTACTTTTTGGGACCGTAATGGCATGTGCATATTCTAAACATTCATTGTACCAGTGTAACTACTGTTTATTTATAAAATGGAGTTCAAACTGACAATTTTTAACTCATGTGATAAATTGAATGTGTGAAAATAAGAAAAAAACAACATTTTTTTAGAATACTATTTGTCTGATGTGATATTTTTAAAAAGTCACTGACAATCAAATGACTTCAATAAAACACGTAGTTAGAAAATTAAATTGTAAAAAGACATAATTACTGCATCAGTAATTAATATGTCTTTTTACAAATTAATATTGTAACTACATGTTTCATGTTTCATGAAAATAATTAAAAATTACTGGTCCAGTAATTATGTCTTTTTACAATTTAATTTTGTAACTACATGCACATATTTATGTTTCATTAAAGTTATTTGGCAGTGACTTTTTAAAAAATATCACATAAGGGCACACCAATTTAATTTTTTGGTTAACGGATTCGCCCGCTTCATTTTTTTCTGGTTTGCAAATAAAAATAAAAATTCAGAATCAACTGCAAAATGCTCATATTTTGCTCTGAACAGTTGAAAACGGTCCTTTTCTTCCTAGTTGTTACAGTTATTCCATCTTTCAATGCAGTGGTATCATTAAAAGTTCAAAATTCATTGTTTAGATTTTGAACCAGCCTGGTGTGTTGACTTCATGGCTCCTATCATACCATTTTGGGCCATAATAGGATGCCTAGGCCTGTTTTTATTTTTTATTTTTTCGCCCGCCCGCTTCATTATTTTTCTAGAAAAATCCGTTAACCAAGAAATTAAATTGGTGTGGCCTAAGACTAAAATGGTTTGAGATAACCTTGAGTGCTTTAAAAATCTCTAGGATTTATTTATTTAAGCAGAGACAATGCTGAGAAACATTTCAAACTGCTCTGACTTTGATGCATGGCGCTGACACTGGTAGTGGTTGTCGAAATCTACAGAGCAAATAACTCTACATTTCCAATATCATATGCCCGAGTCACTCCATTTGTTTTGCACTCCATGTGCAGTTGTGAATCCAATATGTGAGTATTGCTGCATCCCACATCACCTAGGAATGCCAGTAGGGAGGTGGTGGTTGATGATTTCTGTGAAATTGCCAGGCAAAAGCAGCATACATCACCTGTGTGCTGTCTGCAAGATACAAATAGGTGTAATTTTTGGTCTGTGAAAGGGAATCAGAAATTCAATGATACAAATTCCTGTAGGGTTGAAATCGTGAAAAAAATAAATAATTGAATATGCATAAGGCCACACCAATTCAATTTGTTGGTTCTTGGATCCGTCTCTTTATTGTCTTCGTCAGAAGGACTATGAAATTGTCTCGCCGGAGTGTGGGGAACTGCGGATTTTGCGATATAACTCTGGAAGGCAGGATTCGACGTCCATGATTTTTGGCAGGCAGATTACCATTGTTGAGGCCAAATTCAAGTACAAGTTTCGGCTTCGTGGGGGGTCCGTGCGT